TGTTCTAGATGTCCTGTCCAGTAACATTGCATTAGCTTTTTAAAAGCTCTGGAAACATCTGGTCTTTATAACACCAGAGAGTAACCAGTGACTTGCCAAATGCTGCTCTGTAATTAAAAGAAGAATGTCTGGCTCCCATGAAAATGATGTTTGCCAAAAATATTACAGGGCAGATTTTAGGACAGGGCCCAAGAGAGGAGGATCATCTGTAACCAAAGGGTTAAATCAACTGAAGAGAAAAATAATATTCCCTGAATGGCCCAAATGACCATCAAGTAGCTATGCATGACTGTGTAGCCTTTCTGTTGAAAGAACCTCCTTTAAATATCTTAAAAAATTGATCATATCAACTAGTTCAGGGAAACTGGACAAGGAGGTCCACTGTACACTGGTCACAGTACCTCAATCAGTGGTGTTTCTTTAGTTTTCAGAACCCCTGGGTGGGTCTTGTGGTCTTTGAATATCAATGATGTGGAAACATTTCTGTGCTCCTGCTGTCCTCTGATCAAAAGACAGCATAGTGGTCAACATCCAGGAAAGTAATATGCTTATCTGAGGGCTAGCACATCTTAATAAGACCTGGTTTGTCCTACTGGAAAGTTCATCTCCCTTTGGTTTTCTTGTTCCTTATTATTGCTCTTTATCCTTCCTTTACAATGACAGCACTAACCATGGGACATTGTTTATCAAAATGTAACTCATTTAATTTGCACAGAAGTTCCCAGCTCAGCCGGCCTGGAGTCTCAGAGGAGAAGTCTGACTTGAACTTTTGAGTGAAACTGGACAGTTAAACTTTAGAAGTATGGGATATGGAGTAAATACATTTTTCATTTTATGAGGAACTTGAGCCTGTGGGACTGAGGGAGTAACACTGTCGTTTAAATAAAGTACATTGCAATAGGTGTTATTCCAGTTTGTCCCATGATTTGAAAGTCACAGGCTGTCAAATCATTGAGGATGCGACCTTGAAGAGGATTTTGGGAGGCTGGTCCCTTCCTGTCTCATTCATTGCTTTCCAGATTGAGCAAATTAAGCTGCTTTCCAAATCGCATGATCTTGCCATGCTGCATTTTGCCACCACAGACTCAAAGCAGTAGAGCTATAGATGGAGAAGTCCAAATGGCTAAACAAAATTACCACTCCCTCTTGCTAAAGTATGCGTTCATTTGGCATATGCTGTGTGCATGTAGAGACCAGAGATTAACCTCAGGTGTCTTCTTCAATCACTGTCGACCTTTGTTTTAGAGACAAGGTCCCTCTCTAAGCCTGCTCATTGATTTGGTTAGGCTGACTGGACGGCGAACATCGGATCCATCTATCTCCCCATCCCATCTCCACCCTGCCCATAACTTACAGATTCATTCCCAGAGTTATGGAATTGCACTCATGTCATATTTATGCTTATGTGGCAGGCCCTTTACAAATGAACCATCACCTAATCCCAAATACATTATTTTATCTGGTTATTTCTAACTTTTGCTTATTAAGAGTCTGTACTGTCAAATCCTCTAAGGAAGTTCTTTTTTACTGTTCTATTTCTTCTTCTAATGGTTCTAGTCTTTTTTTTTTTTTTTTTTTTTTTTTTGCATGTATGTCTTGTCTTCCTTCCCTAATAGTATAGTGTATTTTCATTTGTCTTGTCATTATAGTCATGTATTCATAACTCTACCTCTATGTTTATTTATTTCTCAAATCTGATGTCACCGGTGTGATATATGGCTGTTGTTAGGCATGGACTCCTCAGTCTTGCCAGATGCAGAGTAAGACAATGAATTTGACAAAAGACTTTTTCATGGAAATTCTCTGTGTAAGTGGCTAGTCTTCTCTTTTCTGCCTCTATTAATATAATACTGTGTTTTCCTGCCCCATATATAATCATCTCCTGCAGGAAGACCAGATGCTATCACTTCTTACTGGTTTGGTGTCCATCCTTGCTGTCCCATGGCAATTAGTCATCTGGTTGGCCGATAGATGACTCATTACTTCTAGACCTCACAGTTTCCACTCTGTCATGGTAATCAGCTCCTATAATAATGCTTTGAATAAATGTCCCCATATATATCAGATGCCACCTTACTATCTTGTCAGCTCCTCCTCAGATTATTTAGGACTTTTTCATAACTTGTGGACCACATAAAACTACCATTTTGTTTTTAAGAAAAGCTATGTTGGGGCTGGAGAAATGATGGGGTAGTTAGTAGTTCTTAGTGTTCTTGCAGAGAACTTGGGTTCAGTTCCCAGCACCCACATAGGTGGTTCACAAGCAGGGGCTATCTTCTTGTCTCTGTAGCTGCCTGTGGGCATGTGGTACCCATAAAGTCAAGCAGGCACACACAGACACACATAAGTAAAAAGATAATGTTTTTAAAAGGAAAAAACTATGTTATCTACATTTGAAATTATTTTTATTGTTTCTACAGTTTTCATCAGGAAGAAGAAACATCCTGAGATATCTGAATTAAACCTGACAATCAGCCTACTTTGAGCATACCAGGACAGGTATGAAGAGTCTGACAGCTCTCAGTAGTCTCCTTTAACTCCTTCAGTCTCCTTGTATTGATGAGGAAGTGGAAAGGAAGGGATGTTGTTTACAAAGATGCTGCAAGTCATTATGCGGACCTGGCAGGGTTTCCCTTGAGTTTCTTGGCAACTAGTTTATAAGTGTTTTCAGCATTTCAATTTGAATCTCATCGTCAATAATATATAATTAAAATATGCTTAGGCATAGGCTAGTCAAAGTATGGATCGATTACAAGATGTCACTAGTATTGAGGTCTCTAGCAATTTTCGTCCTGATGGAGCTTCCATCAGTACTCTACAGTTTGGCATTTTATCTTAAAGAAGACTTTTGTTAGTGAAAAAGAAGGTGCACAGAGAAAGAGGGAAGTGGGAAAGGGAGTGGACAGCGATAGAGAAGGTGCAAACCTGAACTATAAATATAACACTTAAAAAGAAACATAATTTCCTAATAGGAAGCATGATGACCAAATACTTTTTCCAATTTAGTTCAGCCTCCCTCTCTCTTCCTACCATACTTAGTACAGATTCTAGGACAGGGGCCAGGGAGAGCTTAGGATGTTCTGACAAACACCACTTGTTCTTTCTAGGACTGAATAATAGATTTTTAGAGGCTGTCTAAATGCCAAGGAAGGGTGATGGTATAACAGAGCTAATGATTTAAGGGAAGTGTTGCAGACATTGCTGACAGAGAAAGTGTAAACCCTGATAATGTGGGAAGGATAGCTGTATGACAAATAAACGATGCTGTGGTGAAGTGTAAGATAAGTGTTCAGGGCATCACTGTTGATCTGAGGGCCAGGCCCCCTGTACTGTATCATTTCAGAGTGCTCTACACTGTAAAGGTGTTCATCTCAGGGTCTGTGTTCTTCTATCACATTCAAAGTCTCAGGAAATTAAGGTTCCTGGGTAGCAGGTTACCAAACACTTCCTAGATAGACTGATTAAAATGATTTTAGAGAGTGGAGAGTTCGTATTACCTAACAGATAATAGCATTAGCACTAATCCCTTCATTTTCTCTCGCATGTTCATTGTATTTTTTTGTTTGTTTGTTTTTTCTTTTTTTCCATCATTTCAGTAGGTTCGGTTCTGCTGAAGAACATAAGTCTGTCAATAACATCTCACTAATACATTTGAACCACACATGTGTCATGAATCAAACTTTGGTCCTGGAGTATAATTGTTTTGAACTGGTACTACTGGCTGCATTTGGTCATTGATAGTGGTAGGCAATCCATTATCCAAAGGTTAGCCAGAAAACTGAATTTGACTGCAGCAAGTATTGGCACAGTCTAATGCTCCTCTAAGAGTTCTGTCATTTACACTTGTCATCATTTTCAGCAAAACTCACAGGGGACCCGTTAGCCATGAAGACATTGGTGACAGTGAGAGCTCTTCTCAGTCCATTCTTGTCACTTTTTGTCCCAATCATCCTGGCTTTCTATTGCTTCTGCTAGGAACCACCTTCCTCCCACATATTTGCAGGGCCCAATCTCTAGCATCCTTCAAGTGTGAGTGAGGCTTGCTTCGCCTACATTATTTCACAACTCTCCCTGTACCTCTTTCCTTGTTTTAGTTATCCTGGGGACAGTTACCACATGGCTTTTTAAAAATAAATTTACTCAGTTCACTTTATGTATTACTTTAATGCCCACTAAAATGCAAAATCTTAGAGGGCAAGGAAACGCTAGATGAATAGTGAGTATCTCCAGGGTATTCATTAATCCATTCATGAAAGAATGAACCCTTGGTCAATCAATGTAAATCTTTGAGGAGGAAGGTTTGTGTAGCATTGAATTAAATGGAATGATGCAGTGGACCACTCAGCATGTTCTCTGTTACATAATTCTTGCCTTTTTATGAATGTCTTAGTTAGGGTTTTATTGTTGTGAAAAGACACCATGACTATGGCAATTCTTACAAAGAAAACATTTAATTGAGCTGATGGCTTACAGTTTCAGAGGTTCAGTCCATTGCTATCATTGTAGGGAGCATGACAGCATACACATAGATGGGGTGTTGGCTAAGTCTTGAGCAGAAGGCTGCAGGAAGTCAACTGAGGAAAACTTGAGAAAAAGAAACCTCAAAGCCCATTCCCACAGTAACACACTACTTCCAACAAGGCCACACCTCCTAATAGCACCACTCCCTTTACAGACCATTTTCTTTCGAACTACCACAATGGATAACTGTTTAGAAATTTATTTACAGGTTACCAGAGGCAATGCTTACCATTTACCACCTTGGAGACTACATCTAAGCTGTTAGTCTTTTGACTGGCCATTTAATCTGACTTGAAAATACAAGGAATAACAAAACTCCCCTACAATGGTCACTGAGAATATTTAATGAACTGCATGTAAAAGCAAGCAAGTCATACATTAGAAGCAATATGATTATTGAGTTGTTTAAGGCATTATTTGTTTATACAAGTTAGCAGTATATTCTAGCTACAGCTAGCCAACTCCAGGGCACGCACAAGGAACTGTTGTAATGTTTAGTTGGTTTCATGTTGTTTGCCTTAGGGGATCATGGACATCGAAGAATATTTTGAAAGGATTGGTTATAAGAACTCAACCAATAAATTGGACTTGGCCACTCTAACTGAAGTTCTTCAGCACCAGATGCGAACAGTTCCTTTTGAGAATCTTAACATGCATTGTGGAGAAGCCATGGATCTGGGCTTAGAGGCTACTTTTGACCAAATAGTGAGGAAGAAGAGGGGCGGGTGGTGTCTCCAGGTTAATCATCTCCTGTACTGGGCTCTGACCAAAATGGGCTTTGAAACCACAATGTTGGGAGGATATGTTTACATAGTCCCAGTCAGTAAATACAGCAGTGAGATGATTCACCTTCTAGTACAGGTCACCATCAGTGACAGAAACTACATTGTTGATGCTGCCTATGGAGGCTCCTACCAGATGTGGGAGCCTGTGGAATTAGCATCAGGGAAGGACCAGCCTCAGGTGCCTGCCATCTTCCGATTGACAGAAGAGAACGAAACCTGGTACTTGGACCAAATCAGAAGAGAGCAGTATATTCCAAACCAAGAATTTGTTAACTCAGACCTCCTTGAGAAGAACACATATAGAAAGATTTATTCTTTTACTCTCAAACCCCGCACTATAGAGGATTTTGAATATGCGAATACTTACCTTCAGATTTCGCCCGCATCTGTGTTTGTGAACACATCATTTTGTTCCTTGCAAACCTCAGAAGGGGTTTGCTGTTTAATAGGCTCCACCATCGCAAGGAGAAAATTCAGTTATAAGGATAATGTAGATCTGGTGGAGTTTAAGAGTGTGAGTGAGGAAGAAATAGAAGATATACTGAAAACTTCATTTGGCCTTTCTTTAGAGAGAAAGTTTGTGCCCAAAAATGGTAACCTATCTTTTAGTATTTAGGGTAAAGAGCAAAATTGTTTTTCATTATTATTTCATGTTCTTAAACACTTGAAATATATGTAAATATAGTCCATAAGAACCCTTAAAGAATCATTACCAAGCTAGATATTGACCAACTAATGACTTGTATCTTCTGTTTACTACATTTTATAAAGAAGAAATCCTAGCTGTCCTGTTGTTTCACCAATAAAAATATCATCAGTTATAGTTAAATAAAAAACTTAATGAATATAGCCACAATCCTTTTCAAGAGTGATCACACAAAATTTTCCTAATGAAGATGCATTTAACTTGAAAGCCATATTCATTTGTAACAGAAAACCTTCAAACATTATGTTATTGTTGTAATCACATAAAACTTATACTAGTAGTTAACTATGAATAAACAGAGGACTACAGGCATTAAATTTATCCAGAATAAATCTGATGTCCAAGATTTACAAGAAGCTACCTTCACAACTTAGGATCAGAACAAAGCAAACAAGAATGAGCCATCATTTCTGTCCCGGGAAATTTCTTAGACCTCAAGACAAAACTCAAGCCAATGCATGGAGCTCTATGAGTAGGTTCCAAGACAATGGCATGGCTTAGAATTTCTTACAGGGTTAATTTTGCAGACACAGTTCTGTTTATATTTGACTTTTTTAAAGGTATAGTAGCAGTGATATTTTGAATTAGGTGATTTATGCCTCATAAAATGTATGATACCTTGAAAAATGTTGTTTATAAAGCATATTATTGATGAATATAATAAAATAGTATTGGCTAATATAATATGAGTCAAAGGTTTCTTGGAAGTATTGGGATATGGTAAGATATATGTTATCTGTAAGGTATGTGTTGCTTTCATGCAAGTTTAATATCCCTGCTATATTCTTCTACTCCATGCTACACTTTAGCTTAAGAGGAACAAGCAAGCAAACCAAACATGTGTTTTAGTGGATCTTGGGAGTTCAAATCTTGAGCACATTGGTGGGTAAACTTGTGGATCTGATGCAAGAAATAAAACTGAGTTTGAGACATTCCGTACCAGACATAAAGACCACAAATGTAGGGCTAGGGGGTTAGTTCCCAGTGTTAGACTACTGGCCCAGTATTCTGGGAACCCAGAATTTGGTTTATAGCACTACCATACACAAAAGTGTTTTGCTCTGGGATGAAGAAATAATGTTGGTAATTACTTCTAAGTTTTTCCATCTTTCTTAACTTCGCTCCTGTTGAAATCCTGTCTTATTGTGAGATGCCTATTGTGTGCTTGATGAGGACAGATGCCAAAGACAGAAATATATGGCTTGTGCCCCAGAATCCTAATCTTTAACTTCTCTGTACTTTGTGATTTCTGACTGGATTCTCTAACAGTGTCATGTTAGAATCTAGTCGCTATTCAGGCCTCAATACTTTCAGCAGTCTTCACTCTATAGCCACAGATAGTGATTGACAGGTGCCCTATCTGTGAGTCCCTGGGGGAACAGGAAGTCCTGGTGCCAGTGAACATCATGGGAAACGTTGGCTTTGGCACTATAGGTGTCACATATCCTCCTCCTCATCCCTTCCTAGATTCCTGCTTGAGAATCAAGAGATCCTGGATGCAGGCTCTTGCTGTGAGCTTCCTCCATTCTCAAAAGGGACAAGAGGCTCCCTCCTCTACCACACGCCCTCTTGTTTTCTCTAGAGACCTCGTCATACTGTCTGTCTTTGGAACTGAGGCTTGAACTCTCCTTGGAGCCCTGTTGTTGCCCCTCAGTCGATATGCCCATGCTGCTAATAACTCTTCCAACAAATCCATCATTCCCCAGTAATCCAGCCCAGAGTGCTCTTGGATAACCCCCTCCATGCTTATCCCAATGTCAGGACTCTGATTAACACTGGATAGTCCACTTTTCTTCAGCCTTCAACTGGTCATGATTATATTAAGGTTAACAAAAAAGCCGGGGCTGGAATAGTCCCAAAGATACAGGTTATATTGCCACAGGGGTGGGTGTTTTGTTTAGTTTTGTATTTAGGGGAGTGGTCTTATGGTAACCCAAACTGGTCTTGAACTTGCTAAGGAAGTCAGAATGGCCTTGAGTTCTTGATTGCCTCACCTGCACTTCCCAAGTGCTATGGTTACATATATTCGCCACAGTGCAGCTGTTTTTCTGTTGTTTTGTTTTGATTGTTTGTTTGTAGCCATGTAATAGTTGGGAAGTGCTAGGGCAGGTATAAAACTATACAAGCAGATTGCCAACAAATGGTTGTCACCAACAGAGGACACAAAATCCCTTAGAGCAACACTGAGAGGTACATGACTCAGAGGGACCCATCTAAGCAGGCAGCAAGTGGGGATATGGATTCTATAACTCGCCCCTCCTCACCTGACCCCACCCCCAGAAGCTGAAATCTAACAATATATTCTGGCTACCCAGAATATAAGAATACTTTGTGCCAAATATGTAACAGGAAGGACTGATTCTGCCATGAATCAGTGTACAGGGAAACAGCTAAGAAACAGCAAGCAGTATCTGCTAATATCATTCATATACATAAAAAACAGCAGAAATACAACCACACAACCTGTGTCCTGTTTACAGCACATGTACAGGCACATGTCATACACATTTCACAGTAGCTTTGCGAGAGAAGTAGAAGGCCTGAAGATGAGAGGTGAAAGAAAGAAAAAGGAAAACAAACTGATAGAAGGTGATTCCTGAACTGGGCATGTGAATGAGTTGTGGCCATCCCCTCCTCCTGAATCTGCTTTGTCTGAGCCCTTTTCAGGCCTTGACCTCCCACAGGCTCCCAGAGAGCACAAACTCTGTGAAATGCCAAGGCCCTTCACAAAGTACCTCACTCCTTTTCAAAGAAAGAACTTGAGAAAGAGTTCACCAGGGGAGGGTGAAGCCCTACAACTACATTTCCCAGAGATCAGTGGGTTGGCTTTACCCAGGCATGGAGGCGGATCAACTTGGACAGCCAATGAAAGCACTTTCTTTGCAGACTTTGAGGTTGTTCTCAGCCTCCTTCCTTGTCTTCCTGGCCAAGGTCCTAGTAACAGGGTAAGTGGGTCCTCCCAGATAGACTTGGAAACCAACAGCATAACTCAGCTGGGAATTTCCAGTCGTAAGATTGTTGAGAAGGTTTGGGTGGCACAGACTTGGAACCCATGCTATAAATACTGTATAAGTACCCAGGTGCTTCTAACAAATGTTTTGTTCAAGTGGGTGACAGCCACAGCACGATCTATTAGAAAGACTTTTAGAACCATTTAGTTCTGTTAATACTGTACTTATCAGTCAAGGACACACTAGTAATGGTGCCTACTCAAGGGTTTGTGAGAATTAAAGAGGTGTGTTAACAGCTCAATCTTTAATTGAAACCACTCCACCCCCTACTCTCACCCCTGCTTGGATTCTCTTAACAATGCTGATCACAGCACATCTAGAGGAATTCATGAAGGGACTTTTGTCATGCTTGAAGAAGGGTTCATGTGGAGGGTATTTAGGTGCTGTCAATAACACTGGAAATTAATAACTTCCTATGAATCCGGACTGAGACATTGCCTTTGAACACAAACTATAAGATTACACAGCAGAAAGGCCCTAGCTTATGCTAGAGTCCCAGGAGCTAGCCGCCTGCCTATGGGACCTCTTGCTCTGTTCTGTACTGTGGGCATGATGTCAACCACAATGCTTTGCTATTTTCTGATAACAGTTCTTCCGTTTCTGTAGCCCCTCCTTTGACTGACTGACTCAGGCACAAGGCAACTAACTCCACCCTGTCTTTCTAAAAGAGAAAAGAAAGAAATGCCTTTTTAGCTCATCTGCCAAAGACTATGTGGTCATGCCTTGTTCACCTGTGGCCCTATCTCTCTTTCTCCTTGTTTTTGTCTTCCTGGTAGGATCCCTAGCCTTTGCCTGGCTGCTAGAGGCCTTTGCTGGAAACCCCTGGTGCCATGGAGGTTTCTTATAACCTAAGCGCAGCTTGTTACTGCTCTTTGCATATGGCCAGGCCAGTCTCTTCCATCCAGTTAATCAAAGAGATTGCTTGGGGTTGGCCACAGAGTTAGATGCTGTGGGCTTCAGAGCAGAAATGAAAGAGAAAAGTAAAGAACTTGTGGGGAGGTTGCAGACAGGGACTATACATACAAAATTATAAGCAATTCATTAGTTCTCATTGTAACTCTTCATTGAATATTGCCAATAATCCATGAAATGATTATAGTGGCCCCTCAATGGTATATCTTGCTTTTAACATGACAGTGTGTCACTCAGAGGTGTTCTCCTTGGATTAAGCTCTAACTTTCCTATGTTGGCCTCTTGCTCACAAGCCCATGTGGGTAAAGGACAAGGAGTTCTCTTATTAAAACAGTTGAAAATCAATCTTTTACATTAAAGATGCAGAGGTTCTAAAGACTGGGAGTTAAGCAATAAGGGCTCTGCACACCAGCCTGTTCTATGAATGGGAGTTGTGCAATGTATCTATAAAGGACAACTTATGACTTTCAGGGACAAGGCCATGTCATTTAGGGACAAAGTACAGCAGCTGGTTTAACTATTGCATATTGATCATTTTACTAAATAAATATTTCTGTAATCTACAGAAAACAGGGGAACTCCTGTGGCACTGCAGACCTCTCTAGAAGTCTCTCACTTTGTCTGATTTTAACCTTATTATACACAGTTCCATGGAACAGACTTGAAGATGGTCAAATGCAAATTCCCCCAAACCAGATGCTGGGGCAAAGTTACATATACAAGAGAACTAAGGAAGTGCTGGGGAAAAACAGCTCTTCCTGTACAGATTATAACTCCAAGTTTGTCCACAAAGGGCAAGCAAGCTGTGCCAAGACTCTTTGTGCCAACAAGTCCTTGGTTCACAGCTGAGAGGACACTGACTTATTCATGCTTGTCATTTATGGCCATCAGTAAAAGAAGCAAGGGAGGCCCAGAAGCTGTTGGGGAGTTCCCAAATAAAATACGGGGTGCAGGACCATGTCTGTGTATGTGTTTAAATCATGCCACAGATTAGTGAAAGTGATACAAAGAATCTACAGATCTAAGTGAATTACTGACAGGATCCTCACAAACTCACCTTGGTCTTCTGTCTTCTCCAAGCCCCTGTGCCCTCTTTGGATGCACAAGCATGCCATGTTCTTTGTTCTTCAACGTGCTTGGTGAAGAAAAGTACATGTAAAGGGACTTTGTGTGAATCAAGGTGTACTTGAAACTTTATTTTGTTTTTATTGTCATTATTGTTGTCTGTCTTTCAGGTAGTACCTTTCCCTACGGAGCCATCTCACCAGCCCCATATTTTCTTAAGTGTATTTTTGGCATTTTAGGTAAGAAATGTGATCCAACTTATCTTGGGACTTCCCCTTCCTTTTTATTGCATGCATTTCTGCCTCATATGTCAATAAATTATCTAGGTAAAGGATTCGTTTCTACTTAAGGTTTGGATACATATTGTACACATGAATAGCTCAAATGTTGAAGGCTGATCCTCAGCTGCTGGGGCTATTTGCCAGTGATTTAGTTGTGAGGGTGTTCACCTCATCAGTGGACTCAGTTCACATGTGAGTGGGCTCTTAGGAAGTGTGGCCTACTTGGAGCAAGTAAGGGATATCTTGTCACTGGCTCCTTCCTCTTTGTCTCTACTTTCAGGCCACCATGAAGTGAGCATGTTTACCTTGCCACACCTGCCACTATAATACTTCTGTCTCATCACAAACCCAGAGTAAATGTAGGCTGCTCACCATAGTCTGGCATACCTGAAACTGTCATCCAAACTAGAGCTTTCTTCTTCCAGGTTTTCTGCTTAACATGTATTCCTGTTTAATCATGACAACAGAAAATAGCTAAACATCTGTTAGAGAGCCTTCATGTGGCCTTTGGACTGGGTGACTCCAGTGTTTGTCATTCACAAAATAAACAATAGATGAAAGCTAGAGACTTTGCCTATTAGAAGCTGCCAACCTATCTGAGGAGTTTCTACCTTGTCTCATCAAACGCGATCATTGTTCTTGTCTGGGAGAGCATTAGAAAAGTTTTCACCAGCCATAGCCCAACTGGAACACTGAGCAGGTTGAGGACTGTGCTGTCTAACCCATGGATTGTCAGCTCACATTAGCTATTGCAGAATCAGATGTTCTATGATTTACTTATGTCTACCTATTTCTCTATAAGACAAAGTGACTTGACCAGGAGTCACAATGTGTAGCCCTTTTCTACTCTTCTCTGTGTGAAAAACACCCAGTGCTTGTAGCATCCCATCAAGCTGTCCTCTCTACTTCTCGTCTCTCCTGTTCACCTACTGGCTGGTAAAGAAGCATTTTACCAGGGTAGCCTGGCTGGTAAAGAAGCATTTTACCAGGGTAGTTCACAGTTGCTTCTCAAGTTCTTTCACATTTGAGATTGTCTTTGCATGCCTGGTGACTTTCTAACTCACTGGAATCCCAACAGAATAACAAGCACCATGTCAGTGCTTTTTAGACATGGTTCCATTGTGCGTTTCTGTGGGAAAGTCTGTTGCCAGGCTGATAACTTCCTGATGAACTACTTATTTCTCTGCCAGGTGCTTGAGCAGCTCTTCATGATTTTAGATTTAAATGTTTAAATAGATATAGTCACATGCCATGCACATATAATTCAGTTTTTCCTAGAATGTTACATCACTTGTTTTTCTGATATTATTTCTGCAGAATTCATACATACATATCTAACATCATAAATATTTTTCTATTCTAATTTTGCACTTTCCATTTCAGAACTTTGGTTGCTTTTTATGTGTCAGCATTTAACTGGCTTTGACATGGCTTTATTATTTAATTAGCATTGATTCTGGCCATCAAGCTATCTTTCTACATACCTAATGTGTTATTGTGTTCTATCTATAGAGTACTGTTCATCGTAATTAATGTAATATCTTGCTTTATGTCCTTAATTAGTTTCTAAGTTTGAAATCTTTCTTTGCATAAACCATATTGTTTAGTCACTGTATCTGTCACTTCTATGAAGAACTTGTAGTACTTTTTTTGTTTTTATTCCTTTTTGATGTGTATGTCATATCTCATCTCCTCGTGCCAATGTCTTGGTGTATTTTCATTCATTGTTTCACTTTATTTAATCATAAGTGTGCACCATTGTCTCTGCCCTTAATTTCTTCTTTGAATCCAGTTTCACTAGTGAAATGTCCATCCATAATTGGGCTTTGACTTTATTGTATCGGAAAAGGTGGGAGAATCAGACATGATAGGAGATTCTTTGGTGGCATGTCTCCCACACAGTTGTCCCTCTCCTTCTCTGATACTATCCTTGTTAAGATCGCCACTTTCTTTTCCTGCCCTTAGGCCCCTGCTGTAGGTGTTACCTCAAGGAAGGCCACTGTACAAACTGCTTTCTGTGTGCAGTCTGTATTTAGGTAGTAATCAGGGACATCAAACATGCTTTATCCTCTTTGCTGTTCCTATGGCAACTAATGATTGTTGCTTCTGGGCCCTGTACTTATGAGAAAGTCCCAAGCTTAGACCTATCATGGTGCTACTATCTCTTAATATCATACTTCCTAAAGGCTTCCCTGTGTAGCTCAGATGTTCACTTCCATGCAGTTTTTACTCAGTTTGTACTGTTCTGTGATTCCTCATAATTTATGATACAAAACTAACCTTTTCTTTCAAGAAAATTAATATCATATTTCACATTGTATATTTACTTGGGGGTTGTCTACCATGACAATGGGGCTGAAAATTTGTGAGAGCTGGTTTTCTCCATCCCCCTTCCAAGTTATGAGGATCAAATTCAAGTTTTCAAGCTTGGAGTCAGGTACTCTCCTCCCTTTAGGCTGCCCTCCCAGCCCATGTTATATTTCATTCTAAACCTTCATTTTTAGAGTTTGTACCAGGAAGAAGAAGCACACTGGGACTTTTGAATTAAAGCCAGCAATCTTTGAACTGATGCATATAAAATGTACTTTCTAAGAATCTTAAAGGATCTAAGTGTGTTCACTGGCCTTGTCTAAGTCTTGTCTACATTGATGACCAGGGTGAAGGGAGGGTTTGTCCTTGTGGAGAGACTCTGCTAGCCTGCATGTGAACATAATTGTATTTTCACCCATCTCCTTCCCTACCACCTACTCTCCATGAACTCACAGGATTTCACCTTGAATTTTACCCAGCTTCATCAATATACAATTGAAGTATATTTAGTTACAGAATACCCAGGTATGATTTGCTTACAAAATATAGCTAATGTAGAGGCTCTAGCAAAAACTGATGTAACTATAACAAATCTACAGTTACTAAATGTAAATTCCAACTCAAACTTAGTCTTCAAACAAAAAACAAAACCTGACTACTGTTTATACCAATATTTCTGTTATTCCACCACAATGCCGCTAATTTGTTTCCAAGTATATGTTCCAGTCCCATCTTCCATATATTCTCATTTCATTCTTCTTCCCCAGTCCTGGGGAAGCAACAGTCAGGTGACTAGTCACACAAAAACCACCATACATTCTACTCCCTTGCAGTGCAAAGACTGAATAAGGAGCCAAACAAGGATAGAGACATCTAACTAAATTCCATTTGTTCTTTCTGAGCATTAGATGTTTTATACCTATGAAAATGGTGGCAGCTATATACTGTTTTATATAAATTTTCTGATTCTATGAAGAACTGTTCAGAAATCCATTTTCATGGATTCTGATTGGAATCTTTTTGCTGTTTGTCCTTGCCTGGCTTTTTACTTGGTACCTGGGTACACACAGGAAGGAGTGCAGAGCATCCTCCATCTGAGCAGTTTATTGTCTGGCTCATAGTTTGACCTGTATTTTAAGGAAATGAGAAAACATTCATCCTGAGTCGCTGAGAAAAGTCAACACTTGTCTAAGTGTTATGAACACTTATTGTGTGTCAGTTCATATAACAGGAGCAAGATAAATATAGATAGGTATAGGTATTGCCTATATTTATTTGTTGAAAATGAGTTTTAAACGTAGTTGTCCTACTCCAATAAATCCATGAGCAAAACTAGTAATAGCTTTTTGGATTCTTTTCTTTGCCTTAGGGGACCATGAACATTGAAGCATATTTTGAAAGGATTGGTTACCAGAACTCCAAGAACAAACTGGACTTGCAAACATTAACTGAAATCCTTCAGCACCAGATACGAGCTATTCCCTTTGAGAATTTGAACATCCATTGCGGAGAATCCATGGAGCTGAGCTTAGGGGCCATCTTTGATCAAATTGTGAGGAAGAAGAGGGGCGGGTGGTGTCTCCAGGTTAATCATCTCCTGTACTGGGCTCTGACCAAAATGGGCTTTGAAACCACAATGTTGGGAGGATATGTCTTTAACACACCAGCTAATAAGTATAGCAGTGGTATGATTCACCTCCTAGTACAGGTGACAATCAATGACAAAGACTACATTGTTGATGCGGGGTTTGGACGTTCCCTCCAGATGTGGGAGCCTCTGGAATTAGTATCAGGAAAGGACCAGCATCAGGTGCCTGCCATCTTCCGATTGACAGAAGAGAACGAAACCTGGTATTTGGACCAAATCAGAAGAGAGCAGTATATTCCAAACCAAGAATTTGTTAACTCAGACCTCCTTGAGAAGAACACATATAGAAAGATCTATTCTTTTACTCTCAAACCCCGCACTATTGAGGACTTTGAGTCCATAAATACCTACCTTCAGACATCGCCAGCATCTGTATTCACAAGCAAGTCATTTTGTTCCTTGCAGACCCCAGAAGGGGTTCACTGTTAAGTGGGCTGCACCCTCACCTATAGGAGGTTCAGTTATAAGGACAATGTAGATCTTGTAGAGTTTAGGAGTCTGAAGGAGGAAGAAATAGAAGGTGTACTGAAAACTATATTTGGCATTTCTTTAGAGAAAAAACTTGTGCCTAAACATGGTGATAGATTTTTTACCATTTAGAATAAGCAGTAGTAAAAGTTTTCAGCGTCCCTCCATGTACCTGGACTTTCTATGATTATTTTTCAAACATATGTACAATATATGTAATCATGTAAGCCTTTTTGCATTTGTCCCCAGCTTACCAGTTATTGATAACTAATATTTTTTGTATCCTCTCTAGTCATGTATTTTCATTAGCAATAATCTCATAGTGGATAAACCTCGTTGGCTATGATACTGCCTCTGTGAAAAGCTCTACTCCTATGTTTTATTGGAAGAAAACCCTAAACATTTCATCCATAAAATATCAGCACTGTTGGTTACATGACTTTTGAATGAAACATAGATACTCAAGGAGTACTAAAGCAAGGACATGGGCATATTGGTGACCCCACCTGACACGTGCTAGGAAATACCCAACATTGGCTTACTGCTAAATTCACATAGTATTTTTGCTAATTGTTAAATAAAAGAAATAATGAGAAAAGCACCATTAAATTCAACCAGCATTTAGTTAGTATCTAATTTTTATGATATATTGGTTACCTGTATAACTTAGCATTTGAATGCAGCAAAGAAGAATGGGAGGTTGTGTTGGTTTCAAATTAACTGTGTAGTCTTCAATGTATGACTTACACCAACACTTAGGGATGTGTGATGAGGACACAAGAGAAGCAGTCACGCAGCTAATCATTTCTTTCTGTGTTGTCTTTGTATCTAATTCTTTTATTTTTCTTACTGTGGGAACGAATACCAATATTTATAAATTTGATCTTCTACATTTTAAAAATGTATGCCTGAAATAATATACACAATGAAATATGTCTCCAAAACATTTTCAAAGAGTAATGTAGTATGAATGAGAGAGTTTGACTGGAGGAGTTAGGGTATAATGGAGGTTGGTGTCTTCTCCAAGGGAATCTTGTGTTTATTTTACTCCTCAGTCATGCTGATTAATCTCCACTGCCAATTTGACTAGATTTGTAATCACATAGAAGAATTCTGGGCATTCTGTTAATATTTTTAGAGCTGTTTAACTGAAGGGGGAAACCCATCTGATGAAGGAATGTGGGTGACATCATGGCCTTGTTTAGGTCCTGGGCTGAATAAAATAGAAAAGATGAGAAAGTGAGCTAAGAAATGTTTATTCAATTGTCCTCTGACTATGACACAGTGTGACCAGTGGCCTTGTGTTCTCTCCTATTTAGCAATCACTGAGCCCTCAAACTATGAAGTATGTATGGGTGAACTCATTTTTTCTATGACAAGTCAACCACCGACTTAGATGTTTGTGTGTGTGGGGGGGGAAGTAATTTCATGCCTACCATAAACACTAGATAAATATCTATTAGATGGATGCCTGGGCAATGCCATTAAGTCAATAATTTTGACAGTAGATGAGCTTTTTTTTTCTCTCAAATTCTTTATTGGGAATTTCACATCATGTACCCCAATACCACTCACCTCCCAGTCCTTCCATATCTGCCCCTCACCCCTGCAGCATACCCCCCAAATTAATTCAAAACAATAACAAAAAAAACCACCTTGCTCCTCTGTCATTCCAATACCTCTTCATTCAGACTTAGTGTCATCAGGAGCTGTGCTGTGTCAATCAATACACACTTTTGTGCAATCAGCCTCACCCATACAATGTTCATGCAATGAGTCATTGTCTAGTTCAAGGTCCCTGGCACACCATCATCACTGGGCCCTCATTGAAACTCCTCTTAACCAGTCCTTTTACTCTCTCCAGCAGGTCATAGATGTGATAGATGTTAGGGTGAGCCAACTCAGGGCCCCAAGAGGTGTGTCTTGGCGGTAGCTGAGTTGGTTGAGCTGGCCACTGGAACCATCCTGATCAGGCAAAGTACAAAGCCAGGCACATGCCATAGGAGCCAGCTCTCCCATGCCTGTTGTGAGGGGTGGGACCATCTCTCCTAAGTGCAGAGGGCCAGTTCTCCCTATGTGGGGTAGGGACAACACTCATGACACACAGTCCAGCAAGGAGCAGGACAAGCTGTCCCAGAGCCAGTGAGGGGCATGGCTGGCTTAGCACAACACTAGGATTTCAACATGCATGATTCCTATGAAACCCTGTGGTGACATGGGCCATGGACACCAAATCCTGGCTGCTGCTGGGCCACAGACCCAGACATGGCCAACATCAGCAGCCTGGATCCAGACAATACCATGGCTACATGTGACACTGCAAGCCACCCAAATCAACAGTGAGCATAGCCCTTGGAGACCAACAAGATCATAGGATATGGTCTAGACCCCAGGCATCTGTGTGGCTTTTGTTGGCAGCATGGGCCACCATCATCAACATAGCCCCCAGCTGTGGTAGGACCATATACTCAGACATAGTTCCTGGAAGCAGACTGGACTCACATGTCACCATGACCCCTGGTGGCAATGTAGGACACTCAGATCCACATGGCCCTCTTGGTATAGTGGCTCCAGACACCAACATAGCTCCAGGTGCCCAGATCCATGGCATATGCATGGCCTTCGATGTCTAACATTTTTTATTCTTGGTGTCACATCATGCATCTCAATTGCATCCATCTTTCTGTCCTGCCATATCCACTCTTGAAAGCCCCCCCCAACAAAATAAAAGAAAATTTAACAGAAGAGAGAGAAGGAAAATTTTGTCATGGAAGCTATAGTGTGACATAGTATACCCTCTAGTCCATGTATCTTTATTAGCAAGTGTTCATTGCAAAGAGTCATCGGTCTGTTTCAAGCACCCTGGTTTCTGCTGCATTATCTATACGGGGCCTTCCCTGGAGCTCCTCTAGGATATCCTGATTTTCCCTGTGTCCTGAGATCCTGCAGCTTTGCATCTGCAGGACCTGCTCTTTCATGTGCTCCATCTGATCATAGATGGGGTGAGTCAACTCATAACCCTGGTTCTTGGCCTGGGGAGTTGCTTGGTCCTACAGCTCTCCTCTGCTCTCCCCACCAGTGGGAGCTCTCCAGAGCTACCCTAGCTAGTTCACCCTATGCAGCAAGGAGCAAGAGGCAGGACCAGTTCTCTTGCTTTCACACCCACAAGGATACCACCAGGGCCAGAGTGTTGCCCTCGCGAGGTGCAGAGGCCACTTTCCTGAGTGTTGCATCTGGTGAGGAACAGGAACAACTCTCCCACTCTTATGACCTTAAGGCCAACTATCCCAAGTACCTCAAGTATGAAGTGTGCGTGTGGGGGTGGGGGACTTGGAGAAGAGATCTCTCCCTGTCCGTGCCAGTATATGGCAGATGAGGGGCAACACCAGATCTCCTACACTCACCCCTGCACCCATCAACATAACTCTACTACGCTGCCCAGGTGTGGTGTAGTCCCTGCTCTCCCAAGGACAGAGTGAAATCTCCCTGGTGTTGCAGCCTATGAAGGGTGGGGCCAACTCTGAACAGCTCTGTCCTCTTAGCTTTTGGTGCTATCAAGAGCCATGGACATCAGCACAGACTATGGCTGCAGCAGAGTCATGGATCCAGACAGGGACCCTCAAAGCAGCCCAGCCCTGGGCATTCCCATGACCCTGGGTGGCAAGCAAGCCAGCTACCTCAGCCTGCTCTTCACTGCCTTCACCTCTTCAGATCTGTCTCTCTCCAAATGAACTTACCCATCTGTCTCTCTCTCTTTTTCCCATCCTATACCATATATTTGCTCACCACAATAGCGCCTGACCACCCAGCACCAGAAGATCTTGAGACCTGTAAGTATGCCTAGCACTTCAAGATTGGAATGCTGACTTTTCATTACCTCATATTTTTTATTGTGCTTCCCAGTATCAGGGATAGAATGTAAAATTCACACTTATTCTGAGAGTAGTATTCTCTCTTCAACTCTGATTATCAAGAAAATATGAAGTGAGAAGCAATATTAGAATAGAAGAAAATTCTTTAAACTAGAAGATTTCCACATGGATATTTTATATGTGATGGAGATAAAAGGTGAGAGGGTGCATGTCCTAGGCAGGGGTTGTCAAGAGGCCTGACTTTAGTAAAAATAAATTTAAAATAATGCTTCAGTTAGAGACACTTTCCCACCTCCCTTCTTTGGCTTTGTTTACCTCCACTATTTTCCTTGCCAATGACAAATCTGCCTGGTACTTCTGAACAGAAAAGAATTTCATATATTGCTGAAGACATTGCCACTGAAGACAACACATTAAGCCAATCAAAATATGGCCCAATGAGAATGATGTGGCTTTAGGACACTCTCAGTGAAGTTATCTGTACTAACCCCAGTCTAGTTGGTTTTCCTTAAAGCTTTGTTTCATATGGGGAAAACAAAAATTTATCAAAATATACAATGACATAAAATTTACTCATTAGGACCTGAGTGAAGACTGCACACTGTTAGTTTCTATGCAATAAAACTTAAATGAATAAAGAAAGGAGAATCTCTCCAAATTGTATAGCCAGAGAGTTTAAGATATTCCCATATTCTTTATGGTTACACAAACAGTTGTCTGTCCTTCTGGTACCACCACAGAGATTAGGATATGCCAGCTTTGGTCAGAGTCTAGACAAATAAGGTTGAAGAAGTCTGACCCCATGGGTATGTCTGGAACAGTTCTAAATAGTGAACTGTGTATCAGTTCCTTCTGTCTTTAAGATGGAGCCAAGTGAAGTCCATGTCCTACTCTACAGAGTGCAAGTAGAGGATCCGTGACAAATATAAGTATCCCTTAAGTCCTATGAAGAGTTTAACTTTTAACTCTGCAGAGGCAACCACACAAATAGGTTATATCAGCAATTTCAATGGTCTAGGACCCCTGGGGATAAAAAGCTCTGATGCAGCCAAAGCAGTTCTATGAGTGATATTTGGAGTAAAGTGCCTACGCTGAAAGAGAGGAAAAACCAATCAAATAAACAATCTAACACTATATTCTCAGGTACTCAAAAAGCAGTTAATGGAAGGGAGATATAAAAATGAAGAGTAAAGATTCAGATCACACAATAACAAAGAAATAGAAAAGTTCAGCAACACAGTTGGACTTTGGAAAAGTTAGATGTTCTGGGAAACAATTAATTAGACTACATGGAAATAAAAAGTACCAAAACCCAGACAGTGAGGGGGAGACCTTATAACTAATAACAGCTACATTTGTTTCTAAGAGATTACTATGAACAATGAATGAGCCAACAAATTAAACTGAGGAAAAGATAAGTTTGTAGAAACATATAACTTACCAATGCTGAACCAGAAAGAGATAGGATATTTGAACAGACCAATATTGAGAAAGGGCACTGAATCACAAGTCTTTAATTGATGAAAAATCCAGAACCATATGGCCTGATAGCTGTTTCATTTGAAGAAAAATTAGTAACAGTATTTCTCTATCTCTTCCTGAAAATTGAAGAAGGAGGCACATTTATAACCCTAAGTCACCTGACAAAGCTAGTGATGTCCTCAGAAAAGAAAACTGCAGCCAAGTGTTCCTAATAACATAGATGCAAAACCTCAAGGACACTGTTTCCAATAGCATGTCAAAGGTGGAATAACATGATATGTAGGATTTGTTCTCTAGGTGCAAGGATGACTCAACACACAGATCAATTAATGTGATTTGCCATACCAAAAATATAAAAACTATATAATCACTTCAAGAGATGTATAAAAAAAAACTTCTCTCAAAATTCAACTCACTTTCCTGATAAAATGTCTCAAAGACTTTGTCACTGAATGTTCCTGAAAAGAAGAAAAGTCACATGTGACAAACTCACAGCTAACATCATAATCTAAGGTGAAAAGTTAACATTCTTCCCTCTCAGGTAGGCAGTGGTCCAGGATGCTTACTCCCAGCATTCTGTTCAACCTAGTGTGAGACACTCTAGTGTCATAGGAGATGAGAGAGATTCAAATGCAAATGGAAGAAGTGAAATCCTTTGTCTTTGCTAACTGTGATAATATATGAAATCCTATGGTCTCCACCGAAAAGACTTTTTTTCTCCTCCTCCTCTTCTTTCTTCTTCTTCTTCTCCTCCTCCTCCTTCTTCTACCTCTGTTCTGTTCTGTTTTGTTTTGAGAAAGGGTCTCCTTGGACTTTTGGAGATCAGGTTGGCTTTGAACTCA